GAACCCAGGGCCTCAGGCATGCAAGGCAAGCGCTCTACCACTGAGCCACCTTCCCAGCCCGGAAGCACATTTCTATTAATAATGGGGCTAGAGTTGGAGCCCCATGACCGATCAAAAAAAAAAAGAAAGAAAAGAATAGAAAAGAAAAAAGAAACTGTAGAGCAGCTCAGTGTGCTGGTGCTAGGGAGGGGAGAGGAGGCTTGAACTCTGGGCCTGGGCACTGTCCCTCAGCTCTTCAGCTCAAGGCTAGTGCTCTACCACTTGAGCCACAGTGCCACTTCCAGTGTTCTGGTGGTTTATTGGAGATACGAGTTTCACGGCCTTTCCTTTGTGTGCTGGTTTTGAACCGTGATCCTCAGATCTCAGCCTCCTGTGTAGCTAGGTAGCTAGGATGACTGGCGTGAACCACCAGCACCTGACTTGCAAATCTTAGATCTGACCAAGCACTGGTATGGAGGATCAAAACAGGCATACCCAAGTGGGGCACCATGGCTCACACCTGTCATCCTAGCAACACAGGAGGCTGAGATGGGAGGATGGCAGTTCAGTGCCAACCCTGGCCAAAAAAGTATATTCACTAATACCCTACCCCTAATTTCCTATTTTGTGGGCAGATTAGTTTTGTGGGGACGAGAATTCCTTCCTGCGTGACCTCCGGCTGCCGGCACTGTCCTCTGCAGCAGGATGACACGGCACGGCAAGAACTGCACGGCTGGGGCTGTCTACACCTACCACGAGAAGAAGAAGGACACAGGTACTGGGCCAGGGGCCTGAGTGTCTCTCAGATTCCCCATCTGACTCTGTGTCTCCATATTGCTCCCTGTGTCCTGCCCCCTAGCGTGGTTTCAGCCTTTGAGTCACAGTGTGTGTGTTCTAGCGCCCCCGTGTGGCGGGCGCTGATTGTGCATCTTCCCTCATCCATGCCTGTCATCCTCCAACCATTCCTTGGGTTACCAGCATTTTCTCTCTCTCTCTCTCTTTTTTTTTGGTCAGTCCTGGGGTCTGAACTCTGGGCCTGGGCGCTGTCCCTCAGCTCTTCAGCTGAAGGCTAGCACTCTACCACTTGAGCATCAGCCCCACTTCCAGCTTTTTCTGCTTATGTGATACTGAGGAATCGAACCCAGGGCCTCCTGCATGCAAGGCAAGCGCTCTACCACTGAGCCACCTTCCCAGCCCGTTACCACCATTTTCTAGGAGAGAAAGCAGACAGACAGAGCAGTTCAGGTGCTAGAGCTTGGCCAAAACAACAGGACACAGGGGAGTGAGCCATGCACCCCACTAGGGTCCTCTAAACAGCAGAACCCTCAACACAGATGTAACATCTTTCATTTTTTAACTTTAGCTTTAGGTGCCAGTGCTGGGGCTTGAATTCAGGGCTTCAATCATACTCTTCACTTTTTTGCTTAAGATTGTACTCTACCAGGGCTGGGAAGGTGGCTTAGTGGTAGAATGCCTGCCTAGCATGCATGAAGCCCTGGGTTCAATTCCTCAGCACCACATACACAGAAAAAGCCAGAAGTGGCACTGTGGCTCAAGTGGTAAGAGTGCTAGCATTGAGCAAAAAGAAACTCAGGGACAGTGCCCAGGCCCTGAGTTCAAGCCCCAGAACAGGCAAAAGAAAAAACAAAAATAAAATAAAATCTGTGCTCAGAAGTGGATGTGTGGTCAAATGGTATAGCCTTGGGTAAAAAAAAAAAAAAAAAGATTGTACTCTACCACTTGAACCACAGGTCCGTTTTCTGCTTTTTGGTGGTTAATTGGAGATAAGAGTCTTACAGGCTAGGCACTGGTGGCTCACACCTATAGTCCTAGCTACTCAGGATGCTGAGATCTGAGGATTGCGATTTGAAGCCAGCCTGGGCAGAAACGTTCCTGTGAGACTTGTAGACCTGTGGCTCAAAGTAGGAGAGCACTAACCTTGAACAGATAACTCAGGGACAGCACCCAGGCTCTGAGTTCAAGTCCCACAACTGACAAAAAAAAGTCTCACAGACTTGTTTGTCTGTGCTGGCTGGCTACAAACTAGGATTCTCAAATTTCAGCATCCTGAGTAGCTAGTAACTTCTTTTCTTGTTTAGCAGAACCTTGCTATGTAGCCCAGCAGGTTTGCCTTCTCTCAGACCTCCTGTCTTCATATCCCAAGTGCTAGGATTATAAGGACCTGTGCCACCGTGCCCACCTTTCTGAATTGTCTTTTACCGTGAAGCCTGTTTCTCTGTCTGGGCTCGCCTTCTCCAGCTCCTGAGCTCTCTTGAGGTTTGAAGAGGGGGCTCTGTCTCCTGTCTCCCCATCCCTCCAACACTGCCTACCTCTGTTGCCAGCGGCCTCCGGCTATGGGACCCAGAACATTCGATTAAGCCGGGATGCTGTGAAGGATTTCGACTGCTGTTGTCTCTCTCTGCAGCCCTGTCACGATCCTGTTGT